GTGTTGGCTAAAATTTTCGAGAAGATTTTTTACAAGAGATTTTCAACTTTTATAGACAGATTCCAGGTTATTCACAGAAACCAATACACTTATAAACGAGGTTTTTCAACAGTAGATGCTTTGTTGCATTTGAAACAATCAATAACGTCACAACTTGACAAATCGAAAATGGCAATATCAGTTTTTGTGGACCTTTCAAAAGAATTTGATAGCTTAAATCATGAACTCTTGTATCAAAAATTGCAAACTGTTGGTCTAAGAGGGACTCCTCTAAGCTGGTTAAAATCATACTTGTCAAACAGAATTTACTTTGTAAAAATTGGACAGATTATCTCTAGCTCTTTCAGGCCAAACAAGGGCGTTCCTCAAGNCTTAAATCACGAACTCTTGTATCAAAAATTGCAGACTGTTGGTCTAAGAGGGACTCCTCTAAGCTGGTTAAAATCATACTTGTCAAACAGAATTTACTTTGTAAAAATTGGACAGATTATCTCTAGCTCTTTCAGGCCAAACAAGGGCATTCCTCAAGGTTCAATCCTGGGTCCACTGCTTTTCAATATATATATTAATGATTTGTTTAATTATATACCAAAAGAGAATATACTGATGTACGCTGACGATCTAGTGATAACTTATTCTCATATGAACGTTATAATTCTTCATGATAATTTAAATCACATTTTTAAAATTTTAAATAGTTATATGGAAAACAATGGATTAGTAATAAACAAAAATAAGACTAAATTCCTCTGCTTTGCAAATAGGAATAAAATAATCAATCCACATCACCTAAAAATTAAAATAACCGATTATAACATAGAAAAAGTAAATGCTATTAAGTTTTTGGGAGTAACTTTTGATGACAATCTGCGCTGGAATAAACATATAGATGATGTTGCACTTTCCCTGGCAAAGTATACTAGGATAAATAAGAAAATTCAAGCTTTTTTAAGTACATCACTCTTGAAATGGCTGTACCACACTTGCATTGAATCTAGAATAAGATATGGTATCGCTGTATGGGGAACCGCATCTCTATACGCTGTTAATAAACTTCAGATGGCACAAAATTGTTATATGCGTTCAATTTATAATTTAAACTTTATGGAATCAGTATCTGAACTCTACCGCACTGATAATATTGACAAGATTAGTGAAATTTACAAGAAACAGATTCTATTGGAAAGCTTCAAATACATAAAAGGAAAAAAAGAAAACAGCTTTCTCGGAATTGGTATAGGTGAATGTCGCAGATCAACGCGAGATACTCGTTTAAATCGTGAATATAGTCTCCCAATTGTTAAACTAGAGGTGGGGAAATCTGCACTGATCTTTCAATTAATCTTCTATTGGAATAGTCTGTGCAATGATTTGCGTAACATATCAAGTTATGNTGTTGCACTTTCCCTGGCAAAGAATACTGGGATAAATAAGAAAATTCAAGCTTTTTTAAGCACATAACTCTCGAAACGGCTGTACCACACTTGCATTGAATCTAGGATAAGATACGGTATCGCTGTATGGGGAACCGCATCTCTATACGCTGTTAACAAACTTCAGATGGCACAAAATCATTACATGCATTCAATTTATAATTTAAACTTTTTGGAATCAGTGTCCGAACTCTACCGCACCGAAAATATTGACAAGATTAGTGAAATTTACAAGAAACAGATTCTATTGGAGGGCTTCAAATATATAAAGGGAAAAAAAGAAAACAGCTTCCTCGGAATTGGTATAAGTGAATGTCGCAGATCAACACAAGATATTTGTATAATTCGTGAATATAGTCTTCCAATTGTTAAACTAGAGGTGGGGAGATCTGCACCAATCTTTCAATTAATCTTCTATTGGAATAGTCTGTACAACGATTTACATAATATATAGAGTTACGAAATCTTCAGAAAAAATGTTAAAAAATGGAAAAAACTTAAGACGCAATGATATTTGTTGTTAATTAATTTTCTTTCTCAGCTCGCGTCCTGTTTTTGTTTGTTTGTGTTTTTTTTTTTTTTTGTTGATTTACAGTTAAGATGCTTGTAAAACGCCAACCTGGCCACAGTGTCTTTTGAGAAAATAAAATAAAATAAAATAAATAAAACATTCCTCTCCTTATTGCCAAACTATTTTTTCAATATGTCTGCAAATTGTAAGATACTAGGCATGTTTTTTAAGTAAGTACCATTTTAATATTAAAAAAACTCAACTGCATTTTTTAAAATAATTTTATTCTTACATGAAAGCCTGTACTTTAATTTACTTTTCAACATAATTTCCTCCAATATGAAGGCACTTTTCATATTGTGCAACTAGCTTCTGAATTCCATCCTCATAGACACCTGCTACCTAATTTGCCAACCACTGCAGCATGGCATTTTGATATCGTCGTCGTAGCAATGACTGCCTAGATGTCTTTTTCAAGTCACTAGATCAGGACTATATGTAGGGTGATCAAGTTGTTCCCAGCCATATGATGTGATAAGATTTTGAGTTTGTTTGGACAGGCACTGTCATGAAGCAAAACAATCCCCTTATTGAACTTGCAATAGCTTTTGTTTTGGATGACAAAATCGTAAAGCATCTGTTTTCTCGAACTTTTGCAACAACTTTCTGCACCAAGTCTTCAGTAATGACAGACGGTCGCCCACTACACTCCTCATCATGGACATTAGTACCACTATCTTTAAATGCTCTAACCAATTTTCTTACCATTTCATTGCTCATAATGTTTTTTCCATACATCTCACTAATCTGCTGATGAATCTTTTCACATCTTTTGTATTAAAAAAAATGAATCACCGCACGTACTTCTCAATTGGTGGGATTTTAAAATGTCTGAGGCATTTTAAACACACACAAACGTAAAACGAACAAATGCTTCCGTAATTGTGTCTGTGACTAGCCAACAGATGTACTGTACAGTATGTACTCAGCACACATTTTTGGAACACCAACTGTATCACTGCAGAGGTCCTATTTTAAAATGGTACTTACTTAAAAAACATGCCTTGTATTTATGAAATATAATGACTTGGGTTAGTGTTTCTCAAACTGTGTTTCATAGAAAATTAATAAATGTTTTGCGAAAAATTATCAAATTAATATGAGCTTGGAACTTATTGTTCTTATTATAATTTTTATTTTAGAGTAACAATTTTAATTTTTCTTATTATAGTTATTCCCTATTTAGCATTAGTCTTTCAATTGTTTTACATTTGATTTTATATTATATTACAATGACATACCTGATTTATTTTGAACTGTTTAATTTTTGTTACTGACCATTTTATCAGATCATTCTTATTACAATTGTTTTTATATTATTTAATATGGTTTTAGTACTTTTCTTCCAAGTATTGTGCTGCATTTACTTTTATATGTTGCAGTCTTTTTTACTATTTTGCATTATTTATTTACTTTTATATTAATTGACATTTTTTATTTACTATCTTATTGTTTTTCATATTAAAGTTACTTTTATAAAACAATTTATGTTTATTTCTATTATACCTATATTACAATTTAAATATTATTCCAAAATCACCCATTAATTCTTGGTTAAAGACAGGAACTGTAACACATGGAAGAGAAAGTCATAAAAGACATTGTATCATGAATGTTAAACAATCATGTTGCATATTGCTGAAAGTAATAGATGCAGTACAATTATCAAATAATACAGTTTTATGTTGCATCAAAGATCTAGCTGTTAACTTTTGCTATTAAGTACAGTCAACATAAAGATTACAAAATGACAGAATAAAATAACATTAATTAAAATTAATTAAAACGTTTTTGGCTATGCAGCCATCATATTTGGAACACTTGAATTTAAATTTTAAAAAGTATTCTAATTATATGTTCGTTACTGATGATGATACATAGATAACCAAAAACGTTAGAAAATTAAAAAATTTTTTGCTGGATGGACTTGAACTTCTTTAGTTTTACATTTATTGCAGCTAAGAAAATTTATTATTATAAATAATTTTCCCACCAAACAAATTAGAGACAAAGTTGTTTTTAAACATCAAATGAAAAATTTTAAATTTTAGCTAATAGTTTTATCAAAACTCTAGGTTATTAAATTTACAACTTAGTACTCATTTATTTAATAAAGTTTAATTTGAAATATAGTAACAATAATAGAATATGACAATGTTACTAATGAACAGTAGAGTATTAATGATGGTATTGATTAAAGTACAATCTAACTATCAATATCTGTAACAAACTGGTTGTCAATATTAGCATTAGTAAATTTTTTATTATTGGTACAACACTAATTTATGTATTATAAAATTGTAATTTATTTTACTTTCCAGGCTGTTATGTATACATAATAAGAGAAAATATAGGAATTGTGTCAAATTTGATTCTCCAGGTTTTTTGCAAATCTCTGTGTTTTGAGACCCTCTGAACACTAAACACCAAAAAACAATTCTGTATGTATGTTGGCATCAATTTTATTTAATATCTAATGATGGGATAAAGAGTAAGAAACAAAATTTGTCACACGTAGCTTGGGTATAAAGAGCATTGATGCTATTAAATTTTGGTGGATAAAGATTGAGGGGTGGGGAAATAGTGGATAGTCACTTGTCATGTCTTGAGGGGTTGGACTAATGAACTTTATTCTTAACCATTTACAATTTTTTTTTATAAAACTCATCACTACCTTTAAAATTAAAGTTTTTGCCATTTTATAATAATTAATAATATAGAGAGTTCTTTATAACAATATTTCATAACAGATGGTGCCATGCACAATTTTATTTATTATGATTAATAATATAAAAGTTATTTTTTAAATAAAATTTTAGCAGTTGGGAAAGTTATATAATATGTTACTGTATTTTTTTAACTAAATTAAATGTTATTTGAATATGAATTGTTATGTGGTTATTTTCATTATTGTTATTTATTACATATAAACATATCTTTGTTTTTAGATTTTTTATTTAAATATTTTAGAAATTTCAAATTGAACTTTTTTATAGTTAAAACCATATGTATCGTATCAAGCTCCAGAAGTTACACAATCAGAGTTCACTGCAAAAGATTTATTTGATGCTGTATATTCTAAAAAAATTATGGATGATTTTAAATCTGGTAAGCTTGACAGTGATGGAAATCCTCTAGAACCATCAGAAGAAGAAAGTCTTACTCCTGAAGAAGCAAGAATAAGAGCTCGAAAATCTGGAAGTGATATATTTGGTTTTAATCCTATATGTTAATTTTGAGAAAATTAAAATAATAATGTTATATTCCTAATAACTTGTTAAAAAATAATTTATTGCATTTAAACGCCTAGATATCTTTTTCAAGTCACTAGATCAGGACTATATGTAGGGTGATCAAGTTGTTCCCAGCCATATGATGTGATAAGATTTTGAGTTCGTTGAGCCACGTGTGGATAGGCACTGTCATGAAGCAAAACAATCCCCTTACTGAGCTTGTCATGCCTTTTGTTTTGGATGACAAAATCGTAAAGCGTCTGTTTTCTCGAACTTTTGCAACAACTTTCTGCACCAAGTCTTCAGTAATGACAGACGGTCGCCCACTACACTCCTCATCATGGACATTAGTACCACTATCTTTAAATGCTCTAACCAATTTTCTTACCATTTCATTGCTCATAATGTTTTTTCCATACATCTCACTAATCTGCTGATGAATCTTTTCACATCTTTTGTATTAAAAAAAATGAATCACCGCACGTACTTCTCAATTGGTGGGATTTTAAAATGTCTGAGGCATTTTAAACACACACAAACGTAAAACGAACAAATGCTTCCGTAATTGTGTCTGTGACTAGCCAACAGATGTACTGTACAGTATGTACTCAGCACACATTTTTGGAACACCAACTGTATCACTGCAGAGGTCCTATTTTAAAATGGTACTTACTTAAAAAACATGCCTTGTATTTATGAAATATAATGACTTGGGTTAGTGTTTCTCAAACTGTGTTTCATAGAAAATTAATAAATGTTTANTTAATATTAATATATACTGTACTATAAATTAAATTAATTTTATTGTTATAACTAATAGCCAAGGATAAAATAAAAAGTTTTAAATATCAACTTTTTTCTACTTGGTTGTTGCGCGAGGCCCCTCCAAGAGCGAGGCCCCGGGCGATTGCCCTGCTCGCCACCCCCTAAGGCCGCCACTGATTGTAAAAACAAAATTCTCCAATTAAATTTGAAAATATAGAAATAATTTAAAAAATTACTTCTGTATAAAAAAAGAAGAAATTAACGTAAAATATTATCAATATCTAACTAAACTATTTTAATGTGAAATTCAAATGCAGAAAAGAATAATTTATGGGTATGAAATAATTGTTTTAAATTCTTATTCTAATTAAATTATAATTTGGAGATCTGAATATTGTTTTGAGATTTTGAAAATTTAGTGAAAATAGATTTTTAGTTTTTTGCGAGTTACAGAAGATATTGATACAAAAGAATTACAGAAGACTTGTAATACAGAACAAAGATGTTAATTAACAACCATTGGGCAATCCACCTGCCATACTGCAATGCTGGAAAGAATACTTCGAAGAAATATGCAATAAAGAATTTTCACATCCATAAATACTAAGTATTGATTGGACCAGTTATGCAAATTACTGTTGAAGAGATTAAAAATGGAAAAGCAACAGGACCAAATGATATACCATCTGAAGTATGGAAATTACTTAGACAACGCGGAGCATAAGTTTCAACGAGATCATTAAACAAGGATGCCCACCTGTGACCTGGATAACTAGTATCATCATACCTATCTGGAAAAAAAAGGGAGAAGTTGGTGAATGCACAAACTACCATCCAATACATCTACTTTGTCATACTGAAGATCTTTGATTGTATCTTTGACAGCTGCCTATGCACAATTGTCAAAATTACTCCAAATCAATGTGGATTTGTTAAAGAACTCAGCACAATTGATGGCACTCATGCTGTCTGCATACTAATAGAGAAATACAGAGAAAAGAATAAACATTCATTTGACTTGGATCTGGAAAAAGCATTTGCATGAGCTCATATGGAAAGCAGTCTGAGCTGACAGTGTACTTAACCCTATGAGAAATGAGCTCTGCTTTTAAATCACAACAATGGAGTGTGATGCCCAGCTGGTATCTAAGCTCCTTTTTCAATAATAAAAAGAAAATTACATGAACATCTAGAAATTGTAAAAATTCTCCCAGATAATAGAATAATTTAAATACAGATATAAAATTAAATGATATGTGGCAATAGGTTATATAAAGGCAGTGCACTCTATTGCTTTCATTAATTTTTTTCCTCCTACTACTTCAATGAAAAGATCCATAAAGAAGTAAATCATAAATTAATGAAAGAGATAAAAGACCATTTTTTAAAAATGTGTTAGATTTAAAGTTTATAATAAGTTGCCTTTTTTGTTAATTTTTTTTAGATATAAATTGTGATAAAACATAATTTTAAATAAGAATTTTTTGTATTTAGATTATATATTTAACAAAAATCCAATTGTTTTAGAAATAGTACCTTCAGAATAGTCTTTGAAAAATATAGGTAAATTCTATTTATAATGATGCAGTGATAAATTGTAAAATAATCTGTAATATGATACCTTGTTATATTTATGATATTAGGTAGTAAAGGACATGAACTGATGAGGAATATGACATCCAAAATGCATTTTCATGTAACTAATATCAATAAAGTCTAAATTCATTCCTGTTGTTGCCAATGTTTCCTGTATGATAAAAAACAATACTCTAAGCTTTTAATTTGAAACTGAAAAAACACTTGGTTCACAGGTTAATTTATTGTATTAATCATGATTGTGACTGTTTTGTCAACTGCATGTGCAACAAACAGCTAGTGACTGATAGTATACAAGTACATCAGTCTCTGTCATATGCATTGACAAGCGGTAACACAAAAATTTCATATCTGCCATCCTGCAGAGTGTTGGACTGGTGAGTGATGGACTATAGATAGTATTGGTTGTGTAACAATTGATCACTGCACATATCATTTTGCATATCTAGGAGCAAAATTGTTTCCAGTTTCTCTCTCTTCAGTAAGTTGACTGACTACAGTTTGATTTGTGATTAAATTATTTGTTTCTGTTCTGTTCATTTCTTTGTTACTTCAAAAATTGATTTCTGTTTTTATTAACTTATCACTCAAATTTCTAAATTTAAAAAAAAAATGTTTAAATAGAATATAATAAGCATTTAAAACTTAGAATCTGTTTTGTTTTCCTGGGCTACCAGAGATTACTTTGTATAGCACCTAAGTTGTTTTTATTTAGTATTTAATTATTGTACCTATAAATATTCTGATGAATATTTTTTGCATTTATTCTGTATTATATGCATTTTGCCTAATCTGTTACTGTTTAAAGAATTTACAACTATAAAACTTCTCATCCTTTATCAATAAACAATAATAAAGCACTAGAACGGCTATATCTTAAAACAGAGATGATTAACTTTTTCTGTTCTATGAACCCCTTTTCCAGTTAGGTGAAGGTCACGTACCTCTTCTCAGAATAATGTTTTTAAATGCATAAAATGAAATTACAGAAGAACATGGTTATATAGAAATATATTTATTAAAATAAAAAAAATAATATGTGATATAATAATAAACCTTGTAAGTGCTTCTTTCTTAACACAATAATTAACAGTACAATACATCTAAAATATAGGAAAGTTAAAGTTGATTTTTACCCTTCCAAGTCCATGGACCCCTGGTTGTGAACCTATTTTAAAAGAATTTATCACACCAGTCCACTTGTTTCTAATTTTAGTGATATTATTAGTGGACTAATGTCATAAGTCCTTTATATTTATTAATTAAAGAATTTAATTTTAAAAAACTGTTTTTCTAGTAAGTATTTTAAATGTTTCTACTTTTCAAGATCTACCATGTATCGTTCTTATTATAATGATCTCCCTACCAAAGGAAAAAAAAAAAAAGGTACATCTTGAAATTAAACCCATATCTTACTGTTTCTCTTCAGAACATTGATGACATTTTATGACTCCAGATTATCCAGAAACCCAGAGATGAGACATTACCAAATATTATGTCTGGACATAAATATAACCAACTTGATTAACTCTTCTGGAATTTATACTGCAATCATTAAAAGCACATAAAAGCTTTAGATACAATTATTTCATTAGCAAGAAAATTCTGGATATTTTAACATATTCATCAGGTAAAATAGTCATGTTTATGGAGAAGTAGAGCCTGGCCAATGAATGGTCAATCAAAAAACAGATATCAGTGTTGGTTCACTTATGAAAAGGATGACAAAATTCTTGCTAGATATTCTGCATGTCTGGTTAAGTTAGTTTTTTAATACAAACAGAACAAACATTTTACAAATAGAAAACTTTCATATGTGAATATAAGTTACTTTTTTAAATATGTTACTGTATTACAGTAGAGTATCGATTATCCGAATCAGTTGGGGACTGGGGTTGTTCGGAAGATCGATGTTTCGGATAACCGATTATGTACGAAAAAATATATTAATTTATCCCAACTTGACATTTTTCTCCGTTGCGTGTCGCTTTGCGTTGAATTTTCGTCAATGTTAAGCCTAACGAAGACTATTGTATTGTTAAAAATTATTTTTTTATTTTGTACGAACAAAATAAATATATTGAAAAATATAAAAACAATAAAAAATTATACTTCAGAAGTTAATTTAGTATCAAAAACGTAAAATATTTGAGTAGCCGAAGACATAGCCAAAGATACAGCGCCACAGTACTGGCGAAAATTCAAATTAGTCGACTGGAATTCCTTCGGATAACCGACCTTCGGATAAACGACGCTCTACTGTAAATGGTAGAATATTTTTCTTTTCTCGTTCACTCAAAAAAGTTACGTTTCGCCAAATGTTATTACGAACGTCATTAAAATTTAAATAAATTCAATACTGTTATTTAAGAATTAGATTAAAATATTAATCTACGAATAGTTTAATATATTAACTCTAGACGTTCGAAATTAGAATGGTTGGAAATAGAAGGTGCAGTATTACGCGCGGGCGGATCTACGTAGGGACTAATGGAGCTTTAGCCCCGGGCCCCCGAGAGTCGAGGGCCCACAAAAATCGAATCGTCGTCGTAAATTTTTAATACTTTTTCCTTAACAACGAGCGCTTATCGCGTAGTAAAAAATAATTAATATTAATAATATAATAACATTTTTAAAATCTTTTTAACGAATTTTTTGAATAATATAATAATTTAAAATCCCAATTTAAAGATTCTTAATCTAACAAAAAATGGAGCCCATTGGACTCGAATAAGCCCTAGGCCCGAAAAGCCTAGATCCACCCCCGACTACACGCGACGATAATAGAGCTAGACGTCTTTTTCCGTGCCGGTGTTTATTTTCCCGTTTATTATCGCGGCGACATCGCTTCATTCAAAATATCTCGTAGTCGTGTCTGTGTAACGCGTACTTTATTGAATCTTACAGTCAAATCTGCTTCCGGTACGCCGACGCTACAACTTTCAAAAGTTTCCTTTACTCGCGTGTTTTTGCCGAGCATCCCGGTTTTACCAGTTGTTTTTATGGGAAATATAGCGTAAAATTACTATAAACATTTCTCATTTATCACGTAATTTGCACGTTAAAGTCAGAAACTTAAAGTATTTATATCTTTTAATATTTTAATATAATAAACAATATATCCGGATTGGTCAACACCTGGCACTCGAGGGAATTTTTGTTCGTACGTAAACCACTTAAAAAGTAATAATATCTGCTTAAAATTTGGAAATTGTAAAATGCGTTTACTAAATTCTCTAGTATCGGGACGTATCGCGATACAATCTCGAAAATATTGTATTAGATCGAAGTTAATTTATTTCGGAAGGATTATAAATCGTTCCTAATCGCCTCTTTAATAAATAGAATAACGATGTACTGTACTTACTCGCATCCAGGAAGTGGTGAAAGCGCTGTACATAAATCCGTGCACGATGAATTTAGTCGGCCGATTTCCGTCGAAATTCGACCTTTCGATGGTTTCGGGACGTTCCGCTTTTAAAACTTGAGCGCGTTTAGGATTTTGGCCGGTATACAAGAGAAACTTTGTACGAATCAACGCTCTGTCTACGGGTAAGAAACTAGTCGGACGATGAACGGCGTGAAAGAATGGTGGACCGTTGCTAAAACAGCCGAGCTTCTCCATGCATATAACGTTATTACCGATATTGACTAAAAAGAAATAAAATTGATAAAGCATTTAGGATAATTACTATTGGATTTAATCGAGAGTGCATCCGGAGTTTATTATTATTATTATGTTGGGTTTAGTGGGTTATACTCGGTACACACCGGTGGCTGTGTACTATGCCGGACCTGAGTCAAGGCATAGCAACCAAAACAAAACTAAAATTAAATAAGTGTGTCAATGTCTGTATTCAGGAATTTCCTAACAATATGGCGTGTATTCAATATAGTGGCCTTCTGTAGTGTGATGTATGTATTTCTACTCAATTGTAATGTTCCCAGGCTTTTGTGTAGCGTGTGTGGTATCACACCTGTACAGGAGAGAACGACAGGTACAATAAGCACCCTATCCATCCTCCACAGATGCCTGATTTCCTGGGCGAGTTCTGTGTACTTGCTAATTTTTTCAGTGCATGTGT